ATGTTTTCCATGTCCTTACTCATGTATTGAAGTTCTCTCAAGGTCAACTACTGTTTCCCTAAGTTCACTGAGTATCTTTATAACCAGTGTTTTGAACTCTGCATCTGGTAGATTGCTTGTCTCCATTTTGTTTAGTTCTTTTTCTGGAGTTTGGTTCTGTTCTTTCCTTTGGGACATGTTTCTTTGTCTCCTCCTTTTGGCACCTACTCTGTGTTTGTTTCTAGGTGCAGAGCGGCTATATCTCCAGGCTTGGCAGAGTGGCCTATAACACGTGTCCCGTAGGATTCAGTGGCAAAGCCTCCCCAGTCACTGTGCACACACACACACAAAGCAGGACTTACTTTAGCAGAGCTCTAGTGCCTGCTAAGTCCACCCCTTGAGTATGTCCCCTGTGGAGGAGGTTGTGTGGTGCTTCAGTGTGGTCTGAAGCTATCCACCGGGTGCACTGGCTCTGGGACCTTCCGGGAGGTGCAGGCCAAGACCAGACCCTGCCTGTGTTCTGCCCAGGGCCACCTGGCCAGAGTTACAAAGCGATCTGCAGATAGCCGGTACTTGCGCTGGGCTTGGGGGTGCTCAGAAGAGGCCAAGCTGCAAAACACGGCTGGTTGCCACTTAGCAAGAGGTGCTGCACGCTGAGGCCAGGTGCTGCTTGCTTGAGAGATGTTAGGAAAGTCTGAAGTGTGAGCCAAGATAGGTCATTCGTATGGAAAAGCCACTGGAAACACTTTGAGTAGGTCTGAAAGTTGGGTGGGGCGCTCCCCTGCTGGCTCTGTGTCTGGGAGAAAGCTGCCCCCTCCCCCAGCTCTGGTCCTGATGCCAGACAATTCAGTTCCTCCCCATATGTCCTCGGTGCCTTTCGAGCTGCTATCCCGGAGCTAGAATTCAAAGCCAAAAAATCCAATTAAATCATGCGCGGGCCCTTTAAGAGAATTTTTTTCCGCCAAATAAGGTCGTGGTACCAGCTGGTCCACGGCTACCCCCCCTCCTACCAGTCTCGATGTGGCTTCAGCCTGACTTCAGGACGTTCTGAATGATGACTGCGCTGCAATTTACTTGTAATTTGATGTGGCGGTGGGAGCCAGACTCCGTTTCTGCGGCGGGATCTCGGCCTTGCCGTTCCGGAGCCACGTCAACAAACTCCTCCTCTTCCTCCTCAGGCGGATGTGGGCACTCCTTCCGCCGGCTCCGGCGTGTTTACTCTCAGGACGGCCTGAAGGGGTCAGTGTTAGACTGCCCTTCCCTTACAGGCAGGCAAGCTCAAAGGCGTGGATGGCCTGCCCAAGTTCAAGTAGCTGGTAGCAGGGAGGCGGGATTCCATCCTGAGTCAGACAGCTGTGCTGGCAGCTCACCCCCAGCAGCCGTTCCCAAAAGTGTCTCCTCACTTTTGCACCCCTTAATTTTTAAAAAATACCCTCGCACTTCCTTGCATGATGTTCAGTGGGTATCTCAAATTTCTCATAAATTCTAAGTTACAAAGGATGTAATTTCCAATACATATATGTTGATTTTTTAAAAATAAAAATAAAACTGCATAAGTGACGTTTAACATGCATCTAATGAAATCTAAATATCCCATGGATTCCATATAAGCCATCACCTATTTTTTGAAATTTATTTATTATTATTTCTTCTTTCTTTATTGATTAAAGTATTACATATGTGTCCTTATCACCCCATTGCCCCCCCCCTCCCCACTCATGCCCTCACTCCCCTGGTGTCTGTGTCCATTGGTTATGCTTATATGCATGCATACAAGTCCTTTGGTTGATCTCTCTCCTTTGCCCCCACCCTCCCCTGCCTTCCCTCTGAGGTTTGAGCATCTAATCAATGCTTCTCTGTCTCTGGATCTGTTTTGTTCATCAGTTTATGTTTTTCATTATAATCCAAAAGTGAGTGAGAGCATGTGATATTTATCTTTCCCTGATTGACTTATTTCGCTTAGCATAATGCTCTCCAGCTCCATCCATGCTGTTGCAAATGGTAGGAGATCCTTTCTTTTTACAGCAGCGTAGTATTCCATCACCTATTTTAAATGTACATGAATTAGCTCCTCTTCAACACTTGTTGAATTTACATTTATTCCCCATAAGCTCATATTTCTGGTCTACTCCTCCCCCCCGCCCCCCCCCGCACACACACAGAATTTTATCCTCACATAATACATATTTTATGTTTGAATGATTACTGATTACCCTAACATACCTCTCACAAACAAAATTATATACTTAAATTGAAATAAACTTGTTTTCTGTGAACATAAGTCTCTAAGTGTCTTTTTTCTAAGTTGGCATATAATTATTTGTATTACTACACAATTAATTAAAAATCATAAAACTATGTATAGATTTGAAGAATAATTATTAAATGTAAAAATGTAAAATTTAATCAAAAACAAATATTCATGAGATAGATATGTCTTTACTTTTTTATTATTTTAAAATATATATTTTTATTGATTTCAGAGAGGAAGGGAGAGGGAGAGAACTAGAAACATCAATGATGAGAGAGAAAACAGGAAAGATCAGCTGCCTACTGGGGATTGAGCCCACAACCTGGGCATGCACCCTCACCCTGACTGGGAATCAAACCAGTGACCTCTGGTCGATGCTTAAACACTAAGCCATGCTGGCTGGGCAGGTGTGTCTCTTTAATTCCACTTAGTTCATGTATCCATGGCTGCCTGTTACTTTTTGATAGAATGAGATGGGGTTCAACATTAATTCTTTTCGTGTTTTTCATATTAACAGATGTAAATATTGAGAAACTTTGTTCACATGAGGAAGTAGAAAAGATGGAATAAAGTTTGTTTCAGCACTAAAACTCAATTTCTTTTTTTTAAAGAATATTCAAATACTAGTTTCAGTTCAAGAATACTCAAATACTAGTTTCAGAATAAATTATGCAAAAATGTAAAACATAAGAAAACAATAATATTGTATCAGTTTTAACACATTGCATGTAATTTTTTTCAAGAAAAAGATTTTAAATATAATAATGTTACATGTAATAAACATTAATATTTCAAGAAAAATTTAAAATATAATAATACTACCAAACTATACTAACATAGTCTAAGATTACAAAAGTTGTAGGAAATATTAAAAATCTGCAAATAACAGAATTACTTCTAGTATATCCTAAAATATTTTTTTCTAGCTCTATTTTTGTTCATCAGTTTATGTTGTTCATTCTATACCACAAGTGAGTGAGATCATGTGATATTTATCTTTCTCCGTCTGGCTTATTTAATTTAGCATAATGCTCTCCAGGTCCATTCATTCTGCTGCAAATAGTAAGAGTTCCTTTTTTATAGCAGCATAGTATTCCATTCTGTAGATCAACCAGAGTTTTTTAATCCACTCATCTGCTGATGGGCACTTAGGCTGTTTCCAAATCTTAGCTATTGTAAATTGTGCTGCTATGAACATAAAAGTGCATATATCCTTTCTGATTAGTGTTTCTGATTTTTTGGGATATCGTCCTAGAAGTGGGATTACTGGGTCAAATGGGAGTTCCATTTTTAATTTTTTGAGGAAACACCATACTGTTTTCCACAGTGGCTGCACCAGTCTGCATTCCCACCAGTTAAAACTCAATTTCTTTCTTTTTTTTTTTAATTTTATTGATTTTTTACAGAGAGGAAGGGAGAGAGATAGAGAGTTAGAAACATCGATGAGAGAGGAACATCGATCAGCTGCCTCCTGCACACCTCCTACTGGGGATGTGTCCGCAACCAAGGTACATGCCCTTGACCGGAATCGAACTTGAGACCTTTCAGTCCGCAGGCCGACGCTCTATCCACTGAGCTACACCAGTTAGGGCAAAACTCAATTTCTTAATTCCAAGTTATAGCCTAAAAAGCTCACTTCCCATCTATCAGATTCATTAGGTCCTCTTTCACTTTTAAATTGGAAGCCACAATAATTCACCATAGAGTCCTTCACTTTCTCAACTTCTAACCCAGTGTTTTGAATGGAACATTCCCCTTATGTGTAGTGCTGGGCATTTTCACACCCAAGCAGTGAGATCCTGAAGGTGGAGGACCAGCAAATGGGAAAGGAGCAGCAGCCCCATCTGCCTACAGCTGCTGTTTGTACAGCTGATCGATCTGTACCCCTGGGGTACATGTCCAGGTGACATTTGATGGGGCTCAGCTGTGATGTGACAGGCAGTAAAGGCTGTTGTGAGCCCATTTTACAGTGTGGAAAGTGTGTGTGTGTGTGTGTGTGTGTGTAAACTCGGGGCTTGCTGTGCAGGGTAACTTAATGGAAACATTGCAAATTAGTCCTCTCCCCTGGCTCAGGATGGACCCAGGCAGTGAGACTCCCCTGGGAAACCCATGAAACAATCCAGACCCAGGACGATGGCTGCAGAGACCGAGAGGAGGGAGCCAAGTGGAGACACAGTCTGCGGGAACAGCCAGGACTTGGATCTGGTTGATGGCCAAGGATGAAGAGAGAAGCCAAGTCACTCCAAATTAGGATGAGCAATGTCCAGAATCATCCTGGTGCCACCACCGGCAGGAAGACAGGAAAGAGGAGCCAATAAATTCTATTTGCATATTTTGTATTACACAAATAATATGTGCTTATTATAAAATGCACACATTCACACACATACACACACACACAGTATCAGTCAGCTATTGCCACACTAGTGCTACTTAACAAATCACCCCAAACTTAATGACTTAAACAACAAGCATGTTTTTAATAGCTTTATTGAGATATATAATTCACATACCATACAATTTATCCATTTAAAGTATAAATTCAATGTCTTTTGGTATATTATGTTATTATTTTTTTAAATTGTGGTAAAATATATATAACACAAAATTTACCATTTTAAGTGCCTTATTCAGTGGTATTAAGTACATTTGTTATGCTGTGAAACTATTATAATTATCTATTTCCAACCCTTTTAACCCCCCAAGCACAAACTCTGTACCCATGTAATAACCCCACAAGCCCCTGGTGGCCTCTAATAGACTGTCTACAAATTTGCTTATTCTAGATACTTCATGTAAATGGAAGCATGCAATATTTGTCGTTTTATATCTGGCTTACTTCACTCAGGAGAATGTTTTCAAGGTAAGCATAATTGCTCAGGGGTATGTGGGTCTCTGCGCTAGCTCTAAGCTGAGGTTGGGTTCAGCTCGACTCCTCATGTCTTCACATTTTCCTGTGACCAGACATTTCCCAGGGTATATTCTTCTCACTGAAGGTCACAACAGCCCAAGAGACCAAGCGATGCCAAGAAAGCACATTTAAGGCTTCTACTCTGTTACCTCCGTCTAAATTCCATTGGCCAAACCAAGTCATCTGGCCAAGTTCAACAACCATGGGGCAGGGAAATACACAGCGGGAGAGGCTGCAAAGCCAGGGCAAGGGAGGGAATGAAGAATTGAGAATAACCCAATCTGCCACACAGAGAGACATACACAAGTAAGTAAAGTCCCCCTCATCCCACCCTCGCCCCTAATCCTGTTCCCTCTCCAGAGAGAATCACGGATATCAGCACCATATTGTCCTGTGACTTCCTTTGTCCAATGAACAATAAGCCGTGATCTCTTTTCCTGCCAATACATATAGATCTCCCTCATTATTTGTAACCACAGCAGAGATTGGACACAGATACACAGAGGAACACCGTGTGAACACCTGAAACAAGACGGCCATCTACAAGCCAAGCTGAGAGGCCTTAGAAGAAACCAACCCTACCAACACCTTGGTCTGGGACCCTCAGCCTCCAGAAGTGAGAGGATACATTTCTGTTGTTGAAGTCAGTAGTCCTTTTTTATGGCAGCCCGAGCTGCTCCAGGTCTCTGACTCCAGAGCATCTCGTTCTCCCCAATTAGGAACAAATACTGTAGTGAACATTCTTGTGCATGTGATTGACAAGCCTGTGGGAAACCAGAAGATATGTGTGTCCTAGATTCTGGCTGGTTTGCCGTTGCACCCCCAAGGGAGCACCTAGGGAATTGTCCATGTACCTGAAGATGAAGACCAGAGGCTGCGGGATTTGTCTGTGCCGGGGCATTCACAGTGGCCAGGGGCCGGGACTTTTCTTATCACCCCTGACCTCTCCCTGCACTCCCAGCCCAGCTTTACTTTGGGAATTATCAAACATTGAAAAGTATTGGCC